CGTCTCGGGGTTGAAAGGTGTGCAACCTCTTTTGGTTATCACTTAAGAACGTCTTTAGCTTAATAAAGGCGTCGTTTTTCGGGGTCATGATTCGTATTGTCTTATTCTGGCCGGCTTTTATAATTTTTGATTTTAACACACAATATAAAAAATAAGTTAAGTTCAAATAATATTTCGTACAGACTAAAAAATATTTGATAAACGATATATCCCACAAAAATTGTTCTCTCCGTGAATGTCTTTCTCTCTTTGTTTTTTGCTGCCTATGTACAGGCGTCTGATGCCTAAATTCAATTTTTATCTTTGAAAAAGGCGCAAAAAGGCGCACATAAGGCACGTCTTCTTTCAAGATTCGTGTGCCTGCGCTGATGTTCAAGACGATTTGTTCACCCAGTTTTTGGCCAGAGAACATTTTCGTCCAAGAACATTAGCCTAGTTCCTTAAATAAAAAAGTTTTAAAACCAGTGTGAGTGAACCTTCCACATATTAGAACCACTGACCAACCTTCCACCTCTTCTTCGTCCACTAACCCAAAAAACTAGTATGGTTATGGTTATATGGGGCTATGAGGCTTCTACTAGGGGGCTTCATTTTTTGCATCCCATATTATTGCCTTTACAGAAACTTGGTTAATGCCGGAGATCTTTAGCTTTGAAGTTTTTTCAAGTAAGTACACCACTTTTAGACGGAATGGACCTCAGCGAAGGGGGGGTGGAGTCCTCATTTCGGTAGACTCTACTCTTGCTTCTGAAGAGGTGAAATCCAAAGAGTTTGGTGACTTAGAATTTATTTGCGTTAAAATCACTTTGTCCGTGAAATCTTTATACATTACATGTTCATATATACCGCATATGTCTGAACCGCCCACATATTGGCAGCATTTGTCCGCTATTCGATACGTCGACTTTAATATCCCAGAATTAAAGTGGTCCAACGTCGATAACTCACCATCTTTGTCGTTTATAACTTACCATGACTTCACCGCGGGCATGTTTGACATGTCCCTAGGTCAGATCAATCATGTTAGAAATTCGCTAGGTCGGCTTTTAGACTTATGTTTTGTATCTGATCCTGATGGTACTGCTCTCTCCAGAGCCTTTCCCCTTTCAACCCCAGAGGATCCATATCACCCCGCGCTGGAGGTCTCAATCAAACTACTCCTGGTATCGATCAGATGTCTCCGAGCGTGGTAAATAAGATTCGCTGTTTCTGTAAAGCTGATTTTCAGAAACTTAATAGCCTTATCGATACATTTGACTGGTCTGATATTCTGGCGTGCACTGATCTTAATGTCACTTTAGAAAAATTTTATTTTACTTTAAATACATTTGTTGACTCATGTGTGGCTTGGAAATATCCGTCCGCTTCAACAAATCCTCCTTGGTTTACAAGGTGCCTCACTAACCTAAAAAATAAAAAAAATAAGCTTTTACTTAAATATAAAAAAACCTGCAGTAGTGTTGATTTCTCAAGATACCTACTAGCTCGGTCGAATTTTACCGTGCATAACGCTGAATGTTATAGGAATTATATTGACCGCTGCCGGATACAATTTACTCAGGATCCAAAGCAGTTTTATAATTTTGTAAACACTAAGCGTAAACACGTATCTTTTTCACCCCTGCTTACGTATGAAAATTCCTCTGCTTCCTCTGATCAGGCCATTGCCGATCTATTCGCAGATTTTTTTCAAAAAACTTAGTCTCTGCCTAAATTGACAGATCAGCCTTACGCATATAACATTCAAGCAGCAAATATTATTTTCTGTCCGTTTTTCTCTGAGAACAACTTATTATCTGATCTTCTTAGGGTCAAACCCATTTATTCGCCTGGTTCCGATGGAGTACCAGGCTGTGTGCTAAAATACTGTGCCAGGGCCAGGGCAAACCTCTTCCAAGACTTTTCAACTTATCTTTGGAAACCTCGATTTTTCCCCTTAAGTGGAAGGAATCTGAATGTGTCAAAAATGATACCATTTCTTGGAAGTTGTACAGAAAAAATGGCGTCAAAGTCCGAAAAACACTACAAAAATTCAAAAATGTCAGTTTCTTGCGTAAAAATTGTATCCTTTTTGTTGAAATAAATTAAAGATTTATATCTCGATATTTCTGAATAAAACGAGACCAATTTTATTGAAAAATTTTAAAATCTGTTTAAAATTACGCGTTTAGGAATTTTTAAGAGCAAAAAAGTCCCGAAAAACCGTTTTTCTAAATACATCAAGATTTTGAGGGTCTTAGAAAAATTTCAAATACGGTTTTATACTATATTTGAACTAATAAACAATTCCAAGTAGGTCTCTTCAAAAGTTCCTCCAATTTTTTTGTTTTGTTGTCGCACTGTGTAGTGTGTCCAGGCAATAAAAAGGAAATTTTGATGGTGTGCCGTTCCATTTCCATTATTCCTTTCTTTTACACACTTTTACTCCAGAGCGCTAGTAAAATTGCACTGACTTGTTTTGGGAAAAGCGTTGTGACTTCAACAAATTGTATAATTCCCTAATGAAGTTGGTCTCGTTTTATTCAGAATTAACAAGACAATATTTATATGTGTCAAAAATGATACCATTTTTTGGAAGTTGTACAGAAAAAATGGCGTCAAAGTCCGAACAACTCTACAAAAATTCAAAAATGTCAGTTTCTTGCGTAAAAATTGTATCCTTTTTGTTGAAATAAATTAAAGATCTATTTTTTTTCAAAAGCTCCAACATTTAAATATTGAAAACGAAAAAAATTTTAAAATCGGTTTAAAATTACGCGCTTAGGAATTTTTAAGAGCAAAAAAAGTCCCAAAAAACCGTTTTTTCCAAATAAATCAAGATTTTGAGAGTGTTTGAAAAATTTTAAACATGGTTTTATACTAGGTCTCTTCAAAAGTTCTTCCAATTTTTCTTTTTTTGTCGGACTGTGTAATGGGCATTGAACAGCAATTCGTAATTTACTTAAATGTAATGTTTTGTGCTTGAATAAATAGTTTGAAAAAAGTATCAAGTTTTTAAAATTTGTGGACTGTAATTCTAATGTAATTCATAGCCGGTTGGATTTGTTCTAGCATTCCCAATAAGTGTCGGCCATTCGCTGGGTGCCCATATATTACGATTTCGTATAAAAGATTCAAAAGTGATGCGTACCGAATCCACGGGCATCATAGCGCAGTGCGACAGTGATTTGGTACTTTTGAAGAGTCCTTTTAAGGTCTCTAAGGTAATTTTAAACCGATTTTAAAATTTTTGACGTTTTTAGTAGTTAAATGTTGTAGCTTTTGAAAAAAAATAGATCTTTAATTTATTTCAACAAAAAGGATACAATTTTTACGCAAGAAACTGACATTTTTTTATTTTTGTCGTGTTATTCGGACTTTGACGCCATTTTTTCGGTACAACTTCCAAAAAATGGTATCATTTTTTACACATATCAATATTGTCTCGATATTTCTGAATAAAACGAGACCAATTTCATTGAAAAATTTTAATATCAGTTTAAAATTACGCGTTTAGGAATTTTTAAGAGAAAAAAAGTCCCGAAAACCCGTTTTTTCTAAATAAATCAAGATTTTGAGGGTCTTAGAAAAATTTAAAATACGGTTTTATACTATATTCGAACTAATAAACAATTCCAAGTAGGTCTCTTCAAAAGTTCCTCCAATTTTTTTGTTTTGTTGTCGCACTGTGTAGTGTGTCCAGGCAATAAAAAGAAAATTTTTATAGTTTTTAAGTTTTTAGATTTTTTTAAGGAACTAAAGAAATAAATTAACATTGCTAGCACTGCTTTATTCTTATTTTGGCCAGTGCAACTGTCACAATAAAGGCGAAGATGTTCTGTTTTTTTTTTTACTATCTAAAATAATTAAATACTTTAAAAGAGCTGAGCAGATTTCATTACAAACTCTCTTCCCATCGACTTCACCCCACAAAAAACCAATACCCATTTCGAGTCCCACTTGATGTATAGGGAAAAACTACACCTACAGTGTCATAAATAATAAAAACAAGAACGAAAAGCTAACTTCGGGCGGAGCCGAAGTTTATATACCCTTGCAGTTAAAACCGGATATATATCGCAAACATCGGATATAGTTGGCCGATCATTATGGGAATATGAATATATAATCCAATTTATTACAATGCATAATCTAAAAAAAGTCCCAAACTTCTATCTTCAAACATACCAAAATTGGTATTTCTACCAAAAACCATTTCCGATCGTTCGGTTATATGGCAGCTATAAGATATAGTCGGCCGATCGTTATGAAATTTAGTAGGTCGGATCAACTGACCAAAAATATAATCTCTACCAAGTTCCAGCTTTATATCTTGAAAAACACGAAAGTTGAGTCATTTCCGATCGTTCAGTTATATGGCAGCTATAGGATATAGTCGGCCGATCCTTACGATATTTGGCATGTCGTATTACTTTGCCATTTGGCATGTCGTATTACTATTAAAAATGGCGCTCATGTAAAACTTGAACTCTCTCACTCTAAAAACACCGAAGTTATACCATTTCCGATCAATCAGTTATATGGCAGCTATAGGATATAGTCCGCCGATCCCGGCCGTTCCGACTTATATACTGCGTGCAAAGAAAAGAAGGGTGGTGCAAAGTTTCAAGTCGATAGCTTTAAAACTGAGAGACTAGTTTGCGTAGACGGACATGCTCATATCAACTCAGGAGGTGATCCTGATCAAGAATATATATACTTTATAGGGTCGGAGATGTCTCCTTCACTGCGTTGCAAACTTTGACCAAAATTATAATACGCTCTGCAAGGGTATAAATATAGTATGTTATTTTATTCATATTTATTTATAATATAAAGCTTTAAGCGTATGGACAATTTTTAACAAATATTATAAAACCTTGGACGCTCAGCTTTGCGGGTTTTGCTGTCCTAGTTAGTAGTGTAAAAACGGTATCAGAGCTACAAGTGTTTTCTACTCCTCAATGCCAAGGACATGCGCGATAAATTTTTCTGTAATACAGAAATGTTCCTTATTAAAAGGTCTCTCTTATCCTGCTACGGATAATACACGGGGTTGTAAGAAGCGTGTTTATCGAAAAAAAAAAACTATTGTGTAGAATGTAAATTCAAGCAAACTAATGAAATTTATAAATATATATAACAAAAACCTATCCGTTCGGTTTTAATAAAGATTGAAGTATTCTTTCTTATTAAAATAAATTTCTTTTGTGCATTAAAAGACTATTACCATTAAAAAAAAAGTTTTACATACTTCGATTTAACGGCTCGGATGTTATGCAAAATATCTTAATTATTGGACAAAATATATATGTTATAAATAAATAACGATGGCTTGTTGGTTGACTCCTACAAATACCTCAATTTTAAAAATAAAGCCATTAATACTTATTTTATTAAATTTAAACATATGCATTGAACAAGTCAGTGCAACTTCATTTCTTATTCCTCATGGTAAGATGTTAAACACTATTAAAGTGAAACCTAAAATTAATTTTCATTTTTTAGAGCCGTCTAACATAGACCGACCTTTTTTTGACGATATAAGCCCAAGAAATGTTTCTGCCGTTGTAGGCGAAATTGCGATACTAAGATGCCGTGTCAAAAACAAAGGGAATAGAACTGTAAGATATTTTTTTTCCATTTGATAGACTAAATTTAAAATTTTTATATAGAGTTTGACTAGCATGACCACAAAAAAATAACCATAACAAATATTTTCCTATTCTTCGATATAGTCAAAGTTTAGTGTTTTCGAAAGTTTTTATGAAGATAGAGGTCAAACTGGTTTTTTTAGCCAAAAATCTTAATCTAAAGTTGCGAAAAAAATACCATCACTTCAGCACATTTTGAATTGGATGAAAAAAAAATATGTTACTGTTGAAATTTTGTAAAATTTTAATTCCTTCTAATCGAAAACAGTTTTATTCAATTCAATTCAATAGTTTTGCTTTATTTTCCAATATCATTTTCAATTTTGCTTAATGCTAACAAATTTTTTTTTTTTTGACTTAGAGTTTAGACTTTTAATAAGTCTATCTATCTTTAAAACTGTAATATTCTATTTTTTGTTTATTTAATATTTATTTGTTCATTTTTATTTACATTTAATAATCCAAGAAGACTGGTTCTTCGTGGTTACTAGCGTAATACTAGGAAGGGAAGGACCTGTCAGCACGCGGATGTGCGATATAAGATTTGCGAATATTGAATTTATTTGTTGAATGAGAGATGAGTGCATCGATCATTTTAATATCTGCTTTTAAATGCAGACGGTTGATCGCATAGAAAAATGGTGAATTATAAATCATTTTTAAGATTTTATTTTGAGCAATTTGTAATTTATTCATATGGGTCTTGGCACTACAGCCCCAGATTTCAGATCCATAAAGCATTATGCGTAAAAAAATTTGTTTATATATTGTCAGCTTAGTGTGATTTGGGAGATTTGATCTGCGATTTATAAAAGGGTACAATATTCTGCTGGTCCTATTTATTTTCCCATAATCAATGGTATGACTTATGTGACCATTGAAAATAAGTTTTTTGTGAAAATTAATGCCAAGATACTTTATGGAGTTTTCCTATTTAATGTCAGTTTTATTTAGTTTAAGTTCACTATTTGACAGATAACACAGTTTCCGTTTTTTGGTGAAGAAAATTGATTTCGTTTTTGAGGCATTTATTTTTATATTGCATCTAAGGACATTTGGAGCTCGTTTTCTATCGAATTATAAGTAGTGCCAGAGCTAAACAGGGCTGTGTCGTCGGCAAATATAAGTGTATGACATCTTTGAAATAGGGGATGACATAGGTGTAAATGTTATAAAGAACTGATCCGAGCACAGAGCCCTTTGGGACACCTGCTTTGATTAGTTTTTTATTCGAATTGGTACCATCAAGACTGACGTAAAAGTACCTATCTGAGAGAAAACTTTGGATGATATTTGTTAAATATATTGGGCTGTTACAAGTGATAAGCTTATGGATTAGACCAGTGGTGGGCAAAACTAACACATGTTTAAAATTTGAGAGAATTCACTGATCGAAAAAAACGTATTTTTTTATTTCATTTTTCGGTTATTCAAAAGTTGGAATGGGCACTAAAATAGTGTATTTTGTTTTAAAGAAAGCTTTGCTAGCCAGAGTTTAAAAAAAAATGAAAAGCTACGCTTCTCTATCTATATTTTCTATGGACAAAACTTTTTCCAACCCAATTTCTGAGAAAATTTTTCTCAGTGGAAACATTTTGATTTTTAATTTGTGCTGTCAAATGAATCAAAATGAGAGCAAATGAGAGAGTTCTAAAAAATATTTGAGATTTCTCACACTGTCAGTGTGCCGGCAGCGCTGCGGCAGAATTTCCTACCCTATACTCGCGTGCTATGTAAAATGAGAGTTTGCCCACCACTGGATTAGACCATGGTGCCAAACAGTATCAAAAGCAGCTCCTATGTCAAGCGTTACCATGCCAACTGACTCTTTTCGTGCAAAACTTTCCTTTATATAGTTAGTGATTTGATCAATTGGGTGAATACAGTTCAGAAAAGCACGAAAGCCATATTGGACTGGGGGTAAAATGTTATTATCTTTCACATGCAGATTGAGCCTAGATTTAATTAATCTTCCAAAAATTTTTGTGAAACCACATAGCAAACTTATCGGACGGTAATTATTTGGACAATCCGGGGACTTCCCTAGCTTAGGAATTGGAATAATTCTTGCAATTTTCCAATTTTTGGGGAAATAACTAATTTGAAGACATTTATTCATGATTAGAGCAAGAAAGTCTATCACATTTTTTTGTAAATTTTTTAGACAAATGTTTGGAATTTTATCAATGCCAGGTGATTTGTTAATTTTTAGTGGCTTTATTATGACGTCAATATCCTTAGGAGTGATTTCAGGTGTGAATGTTAGGTCATTCAAATTGTTAAATTCGCTTAAAGTGTTTTGGACTTCAGTTGAGGTATTATAGTCTGAGAAACTGTCAGTAATGTGATGTTTTAAGTCAAAAACTTCTGCTTAGATATCAATTTTTTCTGCCTTTGTGGAACACACTATATTATTGTGAAAGAAACTTGGGATAAACTGTTTTTTGTTCTTAATAGTTTTAGTAAGCTTCCAAAATGGTCTGGAATTCTTGTCCAATTTACACAGTTTAAGATTCCATTTTTCATTGTTATGCTCAAATAGTTTCTGGCGAATCATGTGGTTCAAATAGTTTACCCAAGCCTTAAAGATGGGTTGTCTGGTTCTAATCCATTTTCTTTGATTTGTGTTTCTATCACTGATTATAATTTTTATCCACTGTGGAATTTTCAAAACTATGGGCCTAACAGGCGCTTCGGATACACACTGTTTTATTGCATTATGTATGTCAGCTTGAAGAGTATCGACCATTACATCTACTACTTCTTGCTCCGCTTTAAAATCCGAAAGAGCTTCGAGATTGGCTAAGGTTGCAACATTGAGTATATGCTTAAATTTTTTCCAGTTAGCTTTGGAGTATTGCAAGTGTGTAACATTTTTGCAATGAACTCCTTTAGTAAACTTACAAAGTACTGTATGCACAATTGGCTCGGAGAAATTTATCGGTGAATTTGTAAGAAAAATGTCAAGAGTTGAAGGCTTGCTACTAAAGTTAGCTGGTATATAGGTTGGATTTTTGGAGTATAAAAGCGAAAATTTTCCTTTTGACAAAAGCTCATGAAGGCAATTTCCAAACGAGTTAGCTTAGGCACAATTCCATAATCGATTTCTGCAGTTCAAGTCACCACCCAATATGTTATGGCCATTAATTTGTGAAAATTTTACTAGGTCGGCCCTGAACATTTTTATTATACTCTTGCAGAGGGTATTATAATTTTGGTCAAAAGTGTGCAACGCAGTGAAGGAGACATCTCCAACCCTATAAAGTATATATATTCTTGATCAGGATCACCTCCTGAGTTGATATGAGCATGTCCTTCTGTCCGTCTGTCTGTCTGTCTGTTTCTACGCGAACTAGTTTCTCAGTTTTAAAGCTATCGTCTTGAAACTTTGCACACACCCTTCTTTCCTTTGCACACAGTATATAAGTCGGAACGGACTAGTCGGACTATATCCTATAGCTGCCATATAACTGATTGATCGGAAATGGTATAATTTTGGTGTTTTTAGAGTTAGAGTTGAAATTTGACACGAGAGCTATCTTTGGCAAAACATTACAACATGCTAAATTTCATAACGATCGGCCGACTATATCCTATAGCTGCCATATAACTGATTGATCGGAAATGACCCAACTTTCGTGTTTTTGAAGAAAGAAAGCTGGAACTTACTACTGATTATATTTTTGGTCAGATAATACAACCTACTCAATTTCATAAGGATCGGCCAACTATATCCTATAGCTGCCATATAACTGAACGATCGGAAATGTTTTTTGGTAGAAATACCAACTTTGGTATTTTTGAAGATAGAAGTTTGGGACTTTTTTTTAGATTTTATATTATAATAAATTGGGTTATATTATCATATTCTCATAAGGATCGGCCAACTATATCCGATGTTTGCGATATATATCCGGTTTTAACTGCAAGGGTATATCAACTTCGGCTCCGCCCGAAGTTAGCTTTCCTTTCTTGTTATGTGTTTATTTGTTAAAGAAAAGTTGGGTGGATTGTTTAGGCATTAAGCTGAAGCACCAGGAAAATAGGTAGAATATATTTTAAGAGAATTATTGGAGTCAATGTTTATCTTTATACCAGTGTTTTCTATAAGATGGGTCTTTATACTTTTGATTTGTTCATGCTGAATACTGTTCTCTACTATAATCGCAACACCTCCACCTTTTGTAGTACCACCATCATTTCGATAAACTTTATAATTTGGTATAGACAGTTTAATTTTATCCGTTAGCCATGTTTCGCTAACAAGACAAACATGAATTTGGTTTTTAATGAGGAAGTTAACTAACTCAAGACGTTTACTACTGACGGCACGAGCACACATATTGGATAGCAAGTTGAGTTATTATATTGAACTGCTCTTTTTTTGAGGTACAGGTACAGGTACTCTATTTATGAGCTCAGTCGTAAGAGCTGTGATTTCAACGATAAGTAAAAAGGTCGGGAGAACTCGGTGGATTTGAGTCGTTGTTTACGACTGCATTTCTGTAGCTCTGGTATGAAACTTGAGGAAGATTTGGCGGCCGAATCGGAGTTGAGTGCTGTCTTGGTACAGTGCTGTCCTGGCTGATACGAGCTCCACGAGCTGTTTGGTTCTCGTACCTCGGTTTGATGAAACGATTACCGCTGGACGATCGTCGTTGGAGAAGCCACTGATAAGAAAGTCGGCAAGGGCACTGAGGGTCGGAGGAGGGGTTATTCCCTTTGCAGTTTGCGCATTTTAGTTTGGTGCTCTCAGGGCACTCAATGGTCTTGTGTGGGCCTGCACAGTGGGCGCAAGAGGTCTCTACAGCGCAATGCAAGGACCCATGTCCATAAAGCTGGCAATTGTAGCATTGTGTCAGTTTGCTGCTTGATTTTAGAGCAATAGCTTATTGTCATTTTTTGTTGTTTTTCAGTTCTTTTAACATCAATGCATTTCAGGCCTATTTTATTAAGCAAAGTTTTGAGGT